TGTGTATTTATATATATATTACACAAAATTATACACAGTGCTCCCACATATATTATGTAAACACAAACTTTTATTTTGGATGCAATTAATCGTTTGACAGCCCTATTATTAATGCTGTAAACAGTATACATCCATTTATATATATAAATATAATTTATAATATATAATTGACCCAATTTTGGGTCAAATATGGACAAACCCAGGCATCGGGTTACATTTTTAACCCAATGTTTGACTTTGTCCATATTTGACCCAAAATTGGGTTAAAACAACCCAGCATTTTTTAGAGTGTGTATATATATATACACACAATCTGTCCCCAATCTCTTGAACGTTAGTGTGTACTATCCTAATATGTGGTCATAAACAGACAAACTACCAGAAACCCTTTCACCTTTGATCACATTTGACACCAAACTGCAGAAATCTTGCTGAAGTGACAGGATGACCCTCAGGTCAGAGTTGTAAAAGCTTTGGCGCTGCGAAGTGACCTCTACAGTCCCTTATCAAGCATTCAAAGCTTAGAAACGCACATAAGCACAGCTTCGCATAGCAACAAGACAAATCTTTATTGTTAGCAAAGCTGAGGTGATTTATTAAATCCAACAGCTGCACTGCCTGTGATGTCGGCCTCATCAGATGTGTCCAAAAATCGTAAAACAATAAATGTTTGTTTGTGAAATAGCACGTTTCTCGATAGCTTTGAAATAGCACTGGTAAAACATATGGCAAGCGTATTTGTTTTTTTAGATATGTTGGACAGAGCACATTGTGACACTATTGTAAACATGGACTTTGAGGCACAATTTGGTGGGAAATATGATTTATAATAAGCGGCTGGGACCAAAACTCCTTGTACACTTGTAAAAATGGAAATTTGAGTTTTCCGAGTTAAAAAAAAACCTCCCTTCACAGATCTCAGGAGATCCTTGGAGTAAAATTGTACTTTGCTGATCTCTTCTTCGTTCTGAAAGCAGTCATGCTGCCAAACAGTTTGCGGTTTTGTGTCAATGATCTAGAAAAGGCACGGTCGTCCTGGCCAGAAAAACAAGTGAAAGCCAAACCACTGTGGTGCTTTTCTTGCCCACTTGAAAGGCAGTGGATGTGCTCTTCATTCCCACCCCGGTGTTCCCTGAGGGTCCAAAAAGGCATGAAGGTGTCAGGGTTTAGTTGCACGGAGAAAACTGCAGCGAAATAGCAACACATACGCTTTACCATTACATTTGTTCTTAAGCCTATACGTTCTGTTATTCGTCAAGATGATAGGTTTTGTTTTCAGTCTGTTTTTCATCGAACGTGCTGTTGAATGAGACTCGGCGAAAGCCTCTTGCGAGAAGCGTGTTGAAAAACACAGGTGGAAGTTTTTCGAAGCATCTGACAGGCCGTTGACAGCGTACAAGAGAGGTGTGGCACCGTGCCATGCTGGCCCCGGGCGGCACTTACCCTCAACCCGTCAACTGTGGGTAAACGCCTCACGCTGTAATCAACACAGAGAGAGAGAGAGAGTCTTGTGTTAAAGGGATAGTTCACACAAAAAATGAGAATGCTGTGAGTTTTTTGGGGAACTATCCCTTTATATATTGTCCCCAAAAAAATGTCTTTGTGAAAATTACAGTTATCTTGGAAGCTTGTTTCCGCTACATAATAAAAAAAGAAGTAATTGCAACTTTTTATCTCACAATTCTGACTTTTTTTTTCTCAGAATTGCGTGATATTCACTCGCAATTGCGAAATAAAGTCAGAATTGTGTGATATAAAGTCGCAATTGTTAGTTAAACTCATAATTGCGAGTTATAAAGTTAGAATTGTAAGAAATAAAATTGCAGTTGTGTGTTTTAAAGTCAGAATTGTGTGATAAATTCGCAATTACCAATTACTCAGAATTGTGTCTTTCAGAATTCCTTGATATAAAGTCAGAATTGCGTTAAAGTTGCAGTTGCGTGTTAAAGTCAAAATTTGTGATATAAAGTCGCAATTGAGTGTAATAAAGTCAGAATTGCATGATATAAAGTCGCAATTGTGTTAAAAAGTCGGAATTACGTTATATAAATTTGCAATTGCAAGTAATGAAGTCAGAATTGCTTGATATAAAGTCGCAATTGTGTTAAAGTCAGAATTGCTTGATATAAAGTCAGAATTGCATGATATAAAGTCGCAATTGCATGTTAAAGTCAAAATTACGTTATATAAATTTGCAATTGCGTGTAATAAAGTCAGAATTGCTTGATATAAAGTCGCAATTGTGACAAAACTTGAACGCGCCAGTTATAATCAATTGTTGCACTGCATCAGTGAGAACAAGGGAACAACGCAAAGCTAAATCGCTAATATTCATTGATGAATGTTTGCAAAATAACAAATCTGAGCAGAGTTTAACTTTATGCAAATGAGCAGCACAAGATGCAGCAACAACCCCTTAGTGGTGACCCCTACTGGCAACCAACAGTATAGTATAAAAAAACCTTGTTTCCGCTACAGAATAAAACAACTTAAAAATGTAATTGTGACTTTTTTTCTCACAGTTGCAAGTTTACACCTCGCATTTGACATTTTTCTCAGAATTGGGTGATATAAACTCCTAATTGTGAGTGATAAAAGTATTTCTTCCTCAGAATTGGACTTGGACTCAGAAGTGCAAATATATATCTCGCAATTGTGAGGTTTTTATCATGCAATTCTGAGAAAAAAATAACCAGACAAGCACCCCGGTTATAGTTTAGTTTTTCCTTTTTTCATTCGATGCAAAGAGATCACTCCTTAATAATCAATGCATCTGTCTGCATTGCAATAGCAGGAGAGATCAAGCCATCGTTCCTTTACATTCAGTGCGACAAAACTGGATCGATGCAGCGACCTAGTTTAGTTGCAAAGCTAGTTTGCAAAATAGACTGGGTTTCATTCCTCACAATGCATCTGCACTGCAAATGAAGAGTGATATGATATGACCAAACTTGATTTGTTGATTTCATTCAGTTGCATCGTGCAACAGTGTGAAAGCCCAGCAATTCAGAGTTAATGGGAGGGGAAAAAAAACAACAAAAAATAACAGGCAGGCTGTGAATGCAGGTTGAGACCCAGCCCCTGACATTCCTATCTGTACCTGTGCATGCTGCGGAGGGACTGGAGGTGTGCCGGAGCTTAAGAGAGCCACTATTTACCCGCTGGGCCGGAAAGCCTCGAGGAGGAGGAGGAGGAGGAGAGGCCAGTGGGTGCATTACTCGGTTTAGACGTGGCCAGGAACAGAAAAAAAGGCTTTGAAAATGCTGCCGACAGCAATTGTCAGCATAGCTCTCGCGCTTTCTCTGACACAAACACACACTGCAGTTCACACATCCATTCATTCTCTCTTTTTAATGGATACATGTGACAGGATTTGCTTTGTATTGCTCCTGCTAGAAACAAACAAAGACATCAATTTAAAAAAAAGAAAAAGAAAAGAGAACATTTTATTAAGGGGCAATATTTCCGTATAAACTTTGTACATCTTGCTTTTATTTAAAATAAATCATTGAAATGAAGTCTCAATCTGCATAATTATATAGTTTGTTGCCTATAAAATCAACATCAGTTTATTTTATACAATAGGCAATATTTTGCATATTTTATGCAAGAACAACAAAATAAGGAATCAAATGACTAAATAAAAAAATACCAATTTATATCTATTAAAAATGATTAAATAAATAAAATAAAAACAATTCTGACTCTGCCTTGGAGTACTGCAAATATACCAATGGCATATGAATATAGTCATTTTTCAGTACCATGGTGTGCATTTATATATATACGTGTGTGTGTGTGTGTGTGTGTGTGATTGTGAGCAATCCAGAATAAAGGACCGGAAAAAGGCCGTCCACAACAGTTGTACCATGTGCCGACTGGAAATGCGTTATGCAAATGGGTCACTCATTAAAAGTTTATTAAGAGTTTGTGTGTGTGTGTACATGTTTTTCTATACCGATGGGGACTGAAAAGAGTAGTTCACTTTTAAAAAACTTTTGCTGATAATTTACTCACCCCCATGTCATCCAAGATGTCCATATCATTTTTTCTTCAGTCGAAAAGAAATTAAGGTTTTTGATGAAAACATTCCAGGATTTTTCTCCATATAATGGACTTCAATGGGAACCAAATGGTTCAAAGGGCTTCAAAGGGCTTTAAACGACACCAGACGATGAATAAGGGTCTTATCTAGGACCCTTTGAGTCATGACTCGAAAAAAGATTTATTCATTTTGATGAACGAGTTCGAACAGGAGAATTACGAACGCGCATCACAGAACAGAGCAAGGTGACCATTTGTGCTTATAAAACTTAAACTTTTTTATTTATTTTTGAAATGAGCGATCGTTTCGCTAGATAAGATCCTTATTTATCGGCTGGTGTCGTTTAAAGCCATTTGAAGCTGCTCTGAAACTCTCATTTTGACCTTGAACCGTTTTGGTTCCCATTGAAGTCCATTTTATGGAGAAAATCCTGGACCGTTTTCATAAAAAACCTTCATTTCTTTTCGACTTAAGAAGAAAGACATGGACATTTTGGATGACAGGAGTGAGTAAATTATCAGTGAAAGTTTTTTAAAAGTGAACTACTCCTTTCAGTCCCCATCGTTATAGAAAAACATGTGCACACACAAATTCTTAATAAACTTTTAATGAGTGACCCAATGTTTTGCTGACCTTTAAAGTTGGTGCAGTAAGCAAAAGTTTTTATCATTTCATCCGCTTCCAATGCAAATTGTGCCGTTTTTTTTTTTTTTTTATCCTTTTCAGCCTAAGCTTCTCCAGGTCAGTCTACCTAGGGTTGTGTCACCAAGTGTATGTAAATGCAGATATCGGATATGGGTCACTTTTAAAAGAAGATGTAAGCTGGTCATCAACAAAAGCAAAAAAAAAAAAAAAAAATAGATATAGTCAACAAATCAAAATTTGCAAGACCTTTAGTGTAAATGCAGCCCAAGATGTCATGTTGACTTGAAACAACAGGCCCAAATACAACATGTACCCAGGATTTTGAATTTTATTGGCATTATGCAAGACAATAGAATAAACATAGCACACAATCATCTCTGCCAATCAGAGAATATCCAAAATCATTATTCCAACTAAAATAGTTTGGTTGTTTAACATACATTTAATAAATGTAAGTAGTTTGTTTTTTTTCTCAGGTTTTTTGTTTACCGGATTAGTCTTTTGTAACCGAGTTAACCATGCATTTCTTGTAATATCCGATATTGCTGAAGAGGCTTGTGATTACGGTACTATAACAAATGACAGTAGCATTCAGGCATTCAAGTAACTAAAGTCATCTAGACTGGTGACAACTTCAAACAAACAATAACAATAAAAAAGTGGACAGGGAAAATTAAGGTGCACTGCAAATATATATTCTAGGAGAAGTACAAATTCCATTTCCAGTCTGAAACACATCAATGAAGTTACTTAATCATTTACTATAAAGTTAAGCTAGACAAAACTTAAGAAGAAGAGAAACGGTGCAGTTGTACTTTACATAACCAGCTTGACCATTAAGCAAATTCTACCTAAACTTGGTATATATTAATACTGCAATGCAATTCAATTTGCCAAGGCCTTATGGGTGCAACAAAGTAAAGAGAATTAAACTAGTCTAGTTCCATCATCATCATCATCATCATCATCATCATCTAAGACGGCTAATCCATTTTGGTAGAAGACATTGCATAGGATGTCTTGGCTGCATATTTCTAGGGATCTTTTGCAGTTTGTTCGACCCACACAAATCCAATACTCTGCATGCAACGTGTGGGAATTTTTTTTTTTTGTCTTCTCGAAGTAATAAACCAGAAATTTATGGGCTGAGGCCAACTGGGAAGTAATGATGTGAAACTGAATATTAAGAGTCGATTTGCACTCATTCAAAGTTCAGAAAATCCTTCCATTTTTACCGAGTTCAGTTCAGAGCGTTTGGCAGAGACGCTCGCTCTATTTTATTCTTTTTCTCTCTCTTCTTCCTCTTCCCCTCAGTGGGATCCAGTCCAGTTCATTTGACGGGTTGCAAATCATCAAGGAATTTCACATTAGGGAGGAATGTTTTGGTGAGGCGACCTTGAAAGAGACAGAGTTGAATGAGAGTGAAGCTTGTTTTTTGGAGGTTTGCCATGATGGCCTTCATTGTGCAAACTGCATACAAGCAAGGTTATGAGAGCCATTATCAATGAAGCAAATTACATCCGGCTTGCATGTCCAAGTTAACAAAGGCATAATCAGATCTTGTGTTGTTTTGGCACAAATTCAAGCCAGGAAATTGTGTTAATAAAAGGCACTTCCACAATAGGGTAAGAAGTGTATTTACACTTATATAAAAAGAAACACAAATCATGTTATTTTGCTGTGAGACATATTAGATAAACTACTTTATCTAGCGTGATACATGACATAAAACAAATGTATACTCTCGTAAAATTATCGCTTTCATATTCTCGACTTAATGCAACCACGACATTATTATATCCTGTTGAATTTTTTTTTAATTTGTAACTTTTAACTGACATGACACCTTCATAACCATGACATGATATATGTCTTGAATATGAAGTAGGGTTTATGCATGTTTATGACAACTGTCATTAAGTGTCTTTCGCTTTTGAATGCAAATATGACATTGTTTAAGATGTCTTTGTTATGACATCTTGACATAAACCAATACATCATAACCTGTCAGTGTCTTTGTCATGACAACTTGACATAAAATTAAGTTAAACTGGCATGTGGTTGGCTTTGACATTGGCAGTCATGAAGCCATTATGACTGTGTCATGAATATTTTTCGTGACCTCAACTACAGTGGTACTAATTGAATTTGACATTAAAAAGTTATAATGGCTTCATGACAGCCAATGTCAAAACCAACCACCGGACAGTTTAATGTAATGTTAACCAATAAAGCTAGGTGGCTTCTTAAGTTTGATCATTATTCTGCTATGTCATGTTTATGACAGGTTGTGTTGTCTTAGTAATGTCAAGTTGTCATGACAAAGACACTGTTTGGGATGTCTTTGTTACTTTAACCAATACATCATAACCTGTCAATGTCATATTTGCATTAAAAATGTCATAACTCGTTCGTTCGTTCGTTTCGTTTGTTCGAAGCTGTCACAAACATCCTTCATATTCATATTCATAACATGGTTATGAAGGTGTCATACTAGTCTTATGCACACCCCTTCAAGTAAAGTGTTAAATACAAATTTTAAGAAATTGTAGTTTTGACTGTATACGTGAAGCTAGTTATTATAAAAATGATCAAACAAATAGTTTAGTTCTACTAAATTCAGCAATAATTACACTACTTGCACCAAACACATAATCAGTCAAATTCAGTCAAGCCAAGCCAATTTGTTAATGCATAAATCAGCCTCAGTAAAGGCACATTTCACAAAGACAGACTAAATAAGAAGGGAAATATATACTGTTTTTATTTTTAGAAAGTTAATTGAGACCGAGTACATATACATACATACACAGATGTATGTGAGATTTCGCAAACATTAAATGATAATATGTTATGTCTACATCGTCCAGTTCTATTCACATGCAATGTTTTAAACACACATTTTGGCTGCTATTTCCATGCTTGGTTATTATGCATATTAGGCAATACCTGACCGAATAGGAAGTGTTCCTTCTCAAGGCAACAAATAACATGACAGCCATAGTAATTAGGCTCACCACACACACACACTAAAAAAATGCAGTCAGCATCAGTTTCAAGTGTCAAATTAAAGTCTTGAGTAACAGCAGCCAAATATTTAACCACATAAAAAAAATTAAAAAAATCAGATACTACTGAAACAGTAGAAACACAGGAGAGCATGATGGATCATCCCTTTACACAGCTAAACCAAACTTTAGATTGATATCAAATAGTAGAAAACTCTTGCATTTAAGTATGATATAATCTGCAAGTGATTTATAAAAGTTAATAAGTACTTTTTAAAAAGTAGTTATCTTTGATTTAATTGATTATATGAATAAAACAAATCAATTACACTGTCATTCCTTATCCAATTTTCTGTCCTTGTGGGAAAAACATTTTTGGTTCCCATGAGGAAAAAGGCTTAAAATCAAACCAAGTAATTGCAGGAAGTTTTCTATGATAGGTAGGGTTAGTATAAGGGGATAGAATATACAGTATAAAAATCATTATAAAACCCAACATGTGCGTGTGTTCGTTTAATGACATCCTCACCTCTAGTACAAGAGGAAGAAGCGGGTTCGGAGTGAAGACACCATGCTTTCTGACATGTTACGCACTTTCAGGTAGTTCACAAATCCTCTGAAGAACAGCAAGATTCCTGGAGTGGATGCAAGACACGTCATAGGTCAATAACTAGATGTTCGAAATAGCATGCCTACTTAAAAATCCACAAAAAGAATATAAGAGGGCACTGCGAGCATATTAATGCACACAATATCGGAATCCATTAAAGCCTAATCACAGCAACAAGTTCACTAATGCGAAGATTATAGTTTGTTAATATTATTTGCATTTAACTAATTTTGAGTTCCACTTTGAATTTAAAGTCATGTCGTCTTGTAGTCAGTGAACCAGCAGATGGCGCTAGAGTACCATAGACAAGATGGCTGGCGAATGAATCTAAACAAAACTCCTCAGGACTTTTATTTCAGGGTTAAAATAGTTCATGTTTAAGGTCTTACCAAGAACGAGGAAAATCCACCAGAGCCAGTACTGCCCATTGAAGTATCCAGTAAAGTAATCTGAAAACTGAAAAGAAGAATAAAACCATTGAGTTTCACGCTGATTGAATTCACACTCATCTTTGATTCACTAAGTTTTCCACTAAACTAATTAAGAGACTCACTCTCACAATGAGAATCCATTTGATGAGGGAGAGTCCAAAGCCGCAGATGGCCCCGTATCGGCCAGCAATGGTGTTGGTCAAACAGAAAGACAAGCAAAACCCAATCCAGTTGAATAGAAAAGCCACTAGATACAGAAACAGAGAAAGTGTTGCATTAAGGAGAAGTGACATCAAATATATTTATATTAGGGCTGTCAAATGATTAATCGCGATTAATCGAATCCAAAATAAAAGTTTGTGTTTACATAATATATGTGGGTGCACTGTGTATAATTATTGTATATAAATATAAATACACACGCATGCTTGTATATATTTAAGAAATATTTTCATGTATATTCTGTATATAGATTTATATATAATTTATATTATATATAAATATTTTATATATAAATAATATTTTTTCTTAAATATACATGCATGTGTGTGTGTATTTATATACAGTATATACAAAATAATTATTTACTTAATGTAGTTCATTATCAGACATTAATATGCATTACTGCTTTTACTTTTTGACAGGTTTTTATTTATATTTTACTCTATTTTGTCCTTCTTAAACTTCGAACAAGATTATGTTTATTTATAATATGTATAGTATGTTTTGTGTGTATTGTGAGCACTATTGCTGCTAATGCACTTTAATATCCCAACTGGGATCAATAAGTACTACTACTACTAATGAAAGAGTGACTAATCATTCATTAAACATGACTGGACTGTGATGCTTTACTCTGGGTATAGAATAACGTGACGTGTAATACATCACACCACCACCAGATGGCGCACAGAGAGCACTAATGGAGCAGGTCAACACACAAACACACACAGACACTGCGTCTGAAATCACTTACTCTCCTGAGAAGGTCGTTGTTTTGAAGTTATTAGTTTGCGAGCACTAACACAGTATGTTCTACATAGTATGAATGTATGTAGTATTAATGTAATCCGGATGTACTAAATCCACCATGTTGTCACTGTCAAGTGACCTACCAGCATCAGTTACGTCACTTGGCTTTCATTCACAAATCCTCTACCGTGGCCTCATGGGATTGTAAAGTGTCCATTGTATGCACACTTCGGAATCTCACTGGACGTAGTAGGTCATCCGGGTATGAGTATTGTGAATTCGGCTTTTTATGTATTTCACCTACTGTATAGTAGGTGTGTATGTGATTTTGGATGTAGCCACTGCGTTCTTAATTATGCTTATCTAAAATATAATATATACACATGCTAAAAGGTTGACAAAAAAACCTTACTAAATTGCATGTTTGTGCATGAATGAAATTTATAATGATTAATCCAAACATGAACGTGTCGTGTGTGTGTGTGTGTGTGTGTGTGTCGTAAACAGTCCGCATGACTTGACTTACTAAAGAAGGCCAGCATAAAGATTCCATCATTTCCCACCCTCAGCTGATCAGCATCACTGAAGTCATCCCGAACCGGAAAATCCTCATCCTTTTTTAAGTAGATGGATAAAGAGAAACATTCATTAGTGTTTTCGAAGCATATTAGAAGGTAAAAGTGGCTCAAAGATCACCATGGTTGTAATAAGACAATGTTTACATAACTGGACCAACAAAAAATTATATGTAGATGTTAGCCAATCATATCACAGTACATTTACATATACAAGCAAATACAGTGTTTAAGTAAGGGTTAGGGAGCAGGTGGAAAATACTTATGAAGGACTAAATAACTTCTGTTTTAATGCATGAAAAAAAAAACTTGATATATACACTTTAAATATTGATATATTCACTTTATATTCCAAAAAGACACTTAAAAAATAAAAATAAAGACAACAACATGGTGATGTAACTCCTAATTCTGTGGTTTTTCAAAGCTTGATTACTTTCCTTTCAGCAAACACTTTGATCCAAAAACGCTTTAAGTGCACTCTGGCAGCAGGGACAGGCCCTTCAGTGCAACTTTGAGGTTAAGCATTTAGCTCAATGGCAGATTTTCTGGGAAATCCCTTTTTTTGTTTTACTTTTAAAGAAGTTCAACAGAAAATAAAAGATCTGTCTTCTACTCAACTTCATGTTGTTCCAAACCCATATGACCACAAAAAGAGGTTGCTGTTTTGTATAATGTCTCTGCATAAACATCGTGAATGGTGCCACACGTATGGTGCCTTTAGATAAATTGCAGCAGGTTCAACATCAATGACATCATTTAAGGCTGACAAATAAATGCATCTAAAAAAAACCCGTTAAATTCAGCAAATGACATTCGCCATTACATTACTTTGAAATACAGTACTTAAAGAGTAACTAAACACTTAACCAACTTTTTTTAGTTAATGATCTGTAAGAATGGATCTTTATTAATACAAGTCATTGATTCGAGTAACTTTCTTGACATTTGTGTATAAAGTGTTCTATTTCTACAATATATATGGTGTAAAAACATCTTAGTGCTGCCCTCTTCAGGTTGAACGGTGGCTACTGCAGTTTAATTTTTCTATTGGATGTTCCGCACTTCGTGACGTACGTAGGTTTCAGCTCTCCACGCGATCTACGCCCTTGGCAGTACAAAAACCATCTTGTGTCGTCAAAACCACTGTAGGGAGTCAGGAATTGGGATTGGGAGTATTGAAAACGATCAGGATAGAGTGTTTTAGCATCTATTTCGTCCCCTCTATCTCCGCTGGGGTCAGCCCACTTTTTCAGCATTTTCAAATATTGCCAGTGGGTGGAGTCAGGCTCTGACCAGGGGTTTAGTTACCCTTTAAAGGGATACTTCATCTCTGGAAAGATAAATGTGCATTTAAAATGGATCATTTATATAGAAATTGTGAAATTATTTTTGAATTTGGAGCTTTCCAGACTGAGAAAAGCCAGAAATTGTATATTTGGCTTATGTGGATGAAAGACAACAACTCCCAGAATGCACTTGCTTCGCTGCCCTCGGAGGCCACGCCTACCGGTAACAGAGCGCAGTAGTCTCCATGATGAGTCTGCCCGAAAATGTGTTTCGAGATCGCACAAAATGTCAGCGATTCGGCTTTTGCGTTCTACAGATGCCATTCATTATTGGCGCTTTTCCACAACACAGTACCAGCTCAGCTCGACTCGGCTCTGCTCGGCTCGCCTTTGTTTGGTTTTCCACTGTGTAAAAGTTGTACCTGGTCCTGCTTTCGGGTAATTTTTTGTACCACCTCCAGCGAGGTTCTGAGCGAGCTAAGGCGATACTAAAATATCACGTGAAAACAATGCCGACTGCTGATTGGTCAGAGAAAATTGTCACCATTCACTGCGTCATCATTACACGCACCAGATGGAGTATTCAGAATAACCCTGCTATTTTTAAATAGTAAAATAGATTTTTTCCAGACAAAAAATACATAAATCTCTCATCTCAGGGGGATATGAGGGTGGGAAGCATGATAATTCGAAAATACTAGAGGTTTTCTACTAATACAAAGCTGAAGAATCCCTTTAAGACGTATCTGACTGCAAGACTACTTAGTGTTTTTCATTGTATGAATTACTCTTGTACAGCATCAACATTTCTATGTGTGTTTCACAGGGTTTGGAATGACATTAGGGTGAGTAAATGGCCAAATGTTCCTTTTTTTTATGAACAACTCGTTTATGATTCAGCCTACGCCTATGGTAGCGGCCAGCCCAGCTCCACATTGCTACCGCAGCTCAGAACTGTAGCGGTTGTGTAACAAGCAAAAGTCTTGAATAACGCTCTAATTCATTCTTTGTTTCTCTAGTGATTTCATAACAGTGCTCGAGCACTTGGGTGCTTGCTTTCTCTCTCATGTCCTCGTTTTGCAATTACAAAATAATAATAATAAATGTTCCTTGAGCGCCAAGTCAGGATATTAGAATGATTTCTTAAGAATCATAACATTACAAATGTCTTTATACTGTCAATTTTGATCAAATTGATTCATCTTTGCCAAATAAAAGCATTACTTTCTTTCAAAAAAATATCTTACTGATTCAAAACTTTCAAATGGTAGTGCATGTATAAATGTTTATGGCTGCATACCTGTTTTATTATTTTATATAGTAAATTAAGTAGCAAACGCTGTGGAGGTCATTGAGAGAGAAAAAAAGGAAGTTGGTTCTGAGAAAAGCATAATTTATTTGCAGATGTGAGTTTTGTTTGACATTCATTTATCTTCTTAAGACTGCCCAAATAATACTTTTTGGGGCCACATTACATAACACTTCTTGATCTGAGCTCAGAGAAATCAGAGTATCTGAGGGATTCTCTATTTAGGTCATGGTTTATATGGCACACCACATCCTCAAAAAGGTTCTCCTTATGTTACTGTTAAAAGCTAATCCGACACCATTTAAAAATCAAATCAAGAGATGCCCCATTTCATTTTAGTCGTCATCAAATCATACCAGCATTACTACAGCAATAATCCTTCCTTCGAGGGACTGTTTTGAACTTTACCGAAGACGTGGTGGAAAATTGTGCGAGTCGAGGACTTGGGAGTTTCTTTCTGCAGAACATGTGGGCGTGATGGATGAGATACTCACTCGTGGAATGACCTCCACCGCCGAGGCAGCCATGGCTGCTGCTTTAGCCTTCTCTGCCTCGTCATAAGTGGGCAGAGAAGTGGCAACGCTGTATGGTGGAGGAACGGGAAATTCCCCTGGATATGTGCTCTCTGGAAGAAGAAAAAAAGCACAGGTCAGGTCATACGTCACACATTTCTAGCTATGAGTATTCGGAGGGAGCAGTATTTCAAGGGAGCGCTGTTTTGATATTGCTTAGTCAAAAATCACTATTGTTATTGCTCAATGCTCATACTTAGAAACCCATAACAAACAAGCTCTGCAGGGATCGGACTTAGAAGTTTCTCCTTGTGGATGACAAAACAGGCAAAACAACTGAGAATTTCATCCGAATATCTTAAAGAACTTGAGGCTCTTTATACTTAGGAAAATAACTAGTAACCTAGCAACCATCAAGAAAACCTTAGCAACCACACAGGGGTGCGTTTCCCGAAAGCATTGTTAGCCAACTATGGTCGCAAGTTGGTTGCAATTTCCAATTGAACTCTATTGGTAACGACGGAACTTGCGACCATAGTTGACTAACGATGCTTTCGGGAAACGCACCCCTGTATAGTAAAGTGTAAAAATCTCCCACTGGGAGGGGTAAGATTTTTGTAATGTTTTTGAAAGAGGTGTTGTAATCTCACCAAGGCTGCAATTATTTGATCAAAAATACTGTAAAAACAGCAATTCTGTAAAATATTATTACAATTTAAAAAAAAAAAAATTTGTTTGAATATATATAAAATGTAATTTATTCCTGTGATGCAAAGTTGAGTTAGTTGTCACATGATCCTTCAGAAATCATTCTAATACGCTGATTTTTCTGTAAACGTAGATACATTTATTAGATTTAGACTCCTCCACTAACCGTACGTTCACACCGTCGCCGACTTCTTTGGTCAAAGAAGCTCTGGCCGCCCTGTCAAGCACGCTTATCAAAAAGCACGGGGAAGCTCGTTGACGCTTTGAACGCTCTGACGTTGCAGGGAGAATAGAAGTGTCACAACATGAGATGTAATAAACAGAGAAAACAAGCAATACATTGAAAACCTTTTATAATGACAACATTTTTCATAACCGTTTCGGTCACATTTGGTCGAAAATAATAATTATTATTATTTGCATTAGTGCAATTGGTCAAATCGTTGCCACCGTGAGCAAATTAATTCCCGCTTAAAACGAGCGTTCGTAAATATTTCAAATAAAAGTTGCGCTCATTCTCAAATGTGTATCACTGGATCATTATGGCAAAATCGCGTAGAAAAAGTTGGTGTGTTTGGTGCTTCTTTACTGTATTTGCGGAGAAAACGTCGGACTTGGAGATTATCAGCTTCTCCTCCATTTTCTCGGAACTAATGTTTTGGTAGGAACGAAAGTTCACATCGTATGTTCAGAATCAGCGAGAGTGAAGGACGTCTTTATTCTGATTGGTTGCTGGCGTTGCTGAACCGCGTCATAGCTCATTACCATAAAGTTGAGCTTCTTTCGACTTTCAGATTGACGCTCAAAACGCGACGCCGAGGAATTTGACGCTTTGGAAGTCGGCGGCGGTGTGAAAGTACAGTTAGATTTATTATTTTCAGGATTCTTTGATCAATAGAAAGTTCAAGAGAACAGCATTTGCTTAAAATAGAAATCTTTTGAAACATTATAAATGTCTTTACTTGATCCATTTAATGCATCCAAAAAAGTATTAATTAAAAAAGAAATAACTTACTGAGTCTGACCCCAAATTTGTTTAACAGTAGTGTACGTTAAAATGTGTCTAAATGTAACCAACAACAATGACACTGTAATATTTGCATACTGAACTGTGATTGGTCTTCTATTCCAGAATCCACATTGTTTGTGTCATAACAATGGCAATTGATGTATCATTTCATTAATGCACATTGAAAACATTTCTATTTTATTGACATGCATACACATTAATTCTTTTTTTTCATTAATTTGCTAATCTAGTAGATTCCTGCTTCCCTTCCTTGCTCTGGAAATAAGTTTTTGTACCTGGTGCAGCGGTTGCTCCGAGCGCCACACTAGTATACGGAGGAGGCGGAGCATCCGTATCCACTGCGGGGTTGCTGATGCCTAACTCAGCGGCAGCGGCCTGGGACGATGTGGACGGCTCGCCACCGGCAGCCCCTTCAGAGGAGTCGTCCTCATTGTGCAACTGGGGAAGGACAGAAACAAACGTTCAGACTTAAGTAACGTTACTTCAGTGACAAGTTCTACATTTTTTGATTGGTAATGGTTGTGGTTTGCTATTGGTCGAGCTCATGTGAGTGACAGGTTGTCCCTCCCTCACACCAGGAAATCAAAATGGACTAATTCTAATTTTTTAATGGATCTTTGCAGTGTTTATTTTAAATGATTTATCAGTGTACATCATTATGACAGAATTCCTTTTACCAGAAGAAACGTCTATAAAATAATAGTTTGTCCCAATGGCTGTGATTATCTTAAATCGTATAATTTTCTAAAGTGATACAACAGATTGGTAGGCATTATAGCGTGCATTATTCTGACTTTATTTTCTCACAATTGCGAGTTTACATCTCGCAATTCTGACTTTATTTCTCACAATTGCGAGATATAAAGTCAGAATTGCGTGATATAAAGTCGAAATTGCGTGTTAAAGTCAAAAGATATAAGATATAAAGATATGAGATATAAACTATTCTGAGGGGTTAGTATTTTTTTCCCCTTAGAATTGGCCTGATAACTCAAAAAGATGTCAGAATTTCGAGATATAAACTGTAATTGTGTTATAAAGTCGGAATTGCGAGATGTAAACTTGCAATTGAGAGAAAAAAACTCAGAATTGTGAGATAAAGTCGCAATTCTGTCTTTTTTCCTCACAATTGCGACTTTATTTCTCAGAATTGCGATTTTATATCTCGCAATTCTGACTTCATATCTTCATATATCTTTTTTTTAGTCAGTGGCGGAAACAAGCTTCCATAGGAACAGTGTTTAATTTTATAATTTTTTTAATTCTGTGTTTGTGTTGTTAAGCATTGATGTGAATCACCATTGTCAAAGACAAATTTTCACAGTTTTAAAATGTTTTATTCATGCCTCTCGTTGAAAAAAATTACCTGTTTACTAGTGTGAGGGTGGGACAACCTGTCACTCACATGAGCTTGACCAATAGCAAACCACAACCATCCAATCAATCCCCACCGTACAATTTTTTTTTTCGTTCGAGAAGCCATTTCACTCAGATATAGGCTAAATCGCAAGAAGAAAGGACAATCGCAACTAGTCGAATCTGACAAGGTCTTGTGTCTTGCATTAGGTGAAATGACACCATGATGTACTCAACGAAGGGAGGATATCATCTAACACTGCTAAGAACACGTCAACAACTTGGACTCTAGGGAGGCATAACCTTACTGCCCTCTCCCAGCAATCAACAAAACAATCTGTAAAGCTAAACTTCAAGAAAAAGGTGTTGAAACAAAATTAAACATTCAGTTCAAAAGGAGCCTTACTTCTTAATATTCATGAAGTAACCTGAAAATGTCTTCCAGGCATTGAGGACTAATGGTAATTTGACAGTTCAAGATTGCAGGGGACGTATTTGGCACATCAGATGCACAGTTGTCTGCCAAAAAAAGTTAGCAAACAGCGAGATTCACACAGTAACAGGAGAGCGATGGTAATGCAAACCACAAGACTGAGGCACAAGGCTCTGCACCTGTTTGAAGTGTCATTAAGAAGTAACCGTCCAAACAGACACGAGGGGATTCGACCCGGTGAAATTAGTCTGTTTTGCATACGTGGCAGTTATTCAGTGACTTACATTGACAATCCTCTTAGTCACAATAGGGTAACTCCGTGTCAACTCAACCGGAGGTACCGACTCAAATGATTAATTTGGACAATTTTTTCTGAAGAAAGACAAACATGAATAGTAAATGAAAGACAAAATATGAAATGCCATTAACGGAGTATTCCACTATATTTTTTTCACTTAAAATTTAAAACCAAATTAGAGTGAAAATGACTTTAGAAAGATGGCAGATTGGTAGGTCTCGTTAGTAAATTATGTTCTATTTATTTAGCAATGCTTGTTAGCCTGGTTAAAACCAGACCATTCTGAGTTGTAACTGAGTTATGGTCTGGTAAAGCGTCATAGACAAATCATTTCCAGAGGGAGCGTCACCAACGGATAGACCAAAAACCAATCAGAGCGATGAAGGAGATGACGTATGCAGAGTTGTCTGTTGTCTGCTTGGTTTTTAATTAAAAGGACGCGTTCAAATCGCTTAAAACAGACGCGATAGCTGATTCGAACGAGTGATGTTCGACGGCGGCATCCATCTTTGTAATGTAGGCTACAAAATCTGCTTCAAAACCCAGCGCTGTCGTCATTGTGTAAAGCCCGCCCCAACGTTTCTGATTAGTGCCTCGATTTCGGCGGATTGGAAATGGGCTTGAATGAGCTCTTTGCCAGACTAACTTGGAAGTCGGAAGTTGTCCGGGTTTTCCCAGGCTATATACTTGTTGCATAAAATACCAATGGTGACAGCTTCCACCCTCCAGGTTGGTGGTCCAAGGCATTGTTGTCCATCTGTACTTCCGGGATTCTTCCCACCGGAGCCTCGCTTTCGATTTCAAAATGGTGGCTGCGTGAAATTAGCATATTGAAATCACTTCTGAATGCATGATTGTTTTAGATTTTCAAATAGTATAGGGAGCGGCGGTACTGACCACACATTTTACAAGATAAGATATTTTGTCAATGATGCTCAGGATCTGTTGCACACCAAGTTCACATGAGAATGATTACACCATGAAGCCGTATCAAGGACAGAGCGGGCCAATGGGGAATCAGGTTCCTCACTCTGCACTGAGAACAACAAAAAACAAACTGAACTGCCATTACATAAACACACCAACTGGTCAGGGACAAATAAAGCATCTTAAGTGGTTTGCAATGGGCTGTAAAGAACTTTCAGAATGGAGATAATTAGTACATCTTATCTGTGTTATGGCTAAGACTGCACAGAATCAGTGTTTGAAAGTCCCTCAAAAGGGAGTTATTATATCAGTGTCACCATAGATATCTATATAAAGGCTAGATATCTCGTCCACGCTGCTGGCCAATGGAGATCGACGTCAGCACCTGGCGGCCATCTTGTCACAGGCAGCTCGCTCACTGGTAACATTGTTTTAATGATGCATGTACTTTTTAAATCACCGTAACTTGCTCGATTTTCTACCGATTTTCAAACGGTCTGGTTTGTTATAAACGATAGAGATGTAGTTATAATACTGCATACCTTAGGAATAATAAGTGTATAACTAAATAATAGGGGTGTAACGGTACACAAAAATCACGGTTCGGTACGTACCTCGGTTTTAAAGTCACGGTTCGGTACGTTTTCGATACAGCAAAAAGAAAGAAATGCCAGAGAAATTTCCTATTTGTTTAAAGAAATTTTTTTTTAAATAAGTGTGAGTTTTCCTAGATCTTGAAATCTTCAGGTTTATAAATAGGGGTCATCTTTGAAGGATGAACAAATAATGTTTTGGTCATCACATTAAAAATAACATTTAAATATATATTTATTTATATAATATTTGAATTTTGAAGTGCTGGAAAAAGATGTGTGAAGTACTTGAAAGCATTTCACCATTCCAGCCAAACTGGTTCCAGTTAGTGTTACTATATTAAATCCATGGTGAATGTTGCTGGTCTGTGGACGTAAAGTACTAGTTCATTCACGGCACAATGTTTCTCCTGGTTTCCATGACAGCGCTGTTTGATCTAATAGAGATCTGCGGTTAATAACGGAGAAATGTGAATCCATCTCACTAGATCTCGCAGCGATGTTATTACCTCAGTGGCGAATTCAAATGTTTTCTTTACCGGATCTCTTAGCGCGGTGTGGTAACAGTGTTGCTTGATCGAGATCGGCTCGCGCTGCACAGATGTTGCTGGTCCGAACTGATAAACGATCCGTGAAGCACATAACGAGGAGCGCAGTTTCATTCTGCTTTCATTACGCTTGCCATTTGGATGTTGCGCAACGTTGTGTTGGCCGCGTCAGCACGAATTTTGCCGGCAAGAAAAATGGTCCAAGCAATCGTTCGGTTTGTATGCGTACCGAACCGGAAGCCTCGAACCGAAACGGTTCAATACAAATACATGTACCGTTACACCCCTACTAAATAATCATCCAGAATTATACCCAGACAGCAAACTGACATTGAATCAACGTGGAAACGACGTCTTTCATGACATTGAAAAAACGTTGATTTTGCTCATCGAATTAACGTTGAACCAACGTCAGACGCGGCATTCTTCAAAGCTAAATGAAAATCGAAAATTGGTTTGCTTTCATAACGTTGAAACAACGCGTTGATTTCAAGTTGATTTTCCTTTAGTTTTGAAAGAATGACGTGTCTGACGTTGGTTCAACGTTAATTCGATGAGCAAAACAATGTCAGATCAACGTTGTTTCGATGTCATATTTCCACGTTGATTCAATGTCAGTTTGCTATCTGGGTAGCCACGTTTATAATGTTTGTAAAAAACCAAACCGTTAGTAAATCCGTCAAGATTTCAACGAGAGATAAGAGTATTTCTTACATCAGATACCACAGAGCCCGCCAGAAAGCCTGTCTGTGACAAGATGGCCGCCGGTGATGACGATAAATACTCCGCCGTGAGACATCTAGCCTTTATATAGATATCTAAAAGTGTCACTGTCTCCTGAAATGCCTCCATTGTAGTCTCGAGTTTTCTTCTAGGAACGAACATGTCACAATATTCCTCATTTAAATAATTCCCACCCATATGCAAAAAGGGGGTGTTGCGCTGAGTTGTTTAAGAAGTGTGTAGAAACGTGTGGTTACGATAAAGCGGCGAACATTTCTGACACAAGCATGAAGCGGTTGACCAATCGATACTGATCCAGAATACAACATATCGACGTTTATTAAATTCTCGACAGAATATCCAAAGACAAATAACAAATACAGCGGGATAGTGCGCGATCCTGTAAATATGGCGGCAGACCCATAATGCAACACTGCGTGACGTCACCTTCACATTCCCTATTACACATTTGTTTTTCCTAGAAATGATGAAAAACACTCCTGATTACTCAGCACTCCAGGAATTGAGTATCAGTTGCTGTGCTGTTCTCTGAAAATGAAAATGTATCATAGAGCTCTCCTTGTTACCAAGACTTGGAGACCAGAAAATGACAGGGTTTTTGATGAAGCATAAAATAACATTAAGTGAAGGCTACAATCAGCCTTAGTCCCTGTTAAATAAGCGTTTACCAAGAACCAGATTTTTACTCTCAATTATCAAATCCAAAGTCTACAATCTGTGTGGTCAGTACACAACAACTCTGTACATGTTTAACTAGAAGCTGCCCTTGTTTTTTGTGATACACAAAGTACTCTAATCCAAAAAAAACAAGGTCATTTTTATAAGGTGTTTGCATAAAAAGATATTATTTTCTGGGAACCTTCACATACTTTCCAACTGAGCAGTGAATCACCAGATTTCCATAATAAACAAAAGGCCCTGGATCCACATTACAGGGCCAGTTCTCTATTGTTCAAGGTGGAAAACACACACAAACTTGTGATTATAATGCACTTGGCATTCTTTGTGATACATTAGAAGGTTGTACTTCTTTGAAAACCAAGTGAAAGGTCAACCAAAAGGACATCCCAACACCTCAAAATGCATTTCAACGTCCCAAACACAACCATGACCCCTCAAAATGCATTGCAATGCTCCAAAATGTGTTTAGATATCCCAAACATATGATGTGTCAAAATGTTTTTGAACACACCCAAGCGCACTAATGACAACACATAAACATGATTAAAATGCTTTAAAACTTTGTTGAACACCTCAAACACACCTATGATGCGTTCAAAGTTCAAACATGCCAATATAATGCCTCAAAGTGCATTAATCTAACAGCTCAAAGTGCATTTTAACATTCTGAGTCATTTTAATTTCCCAAGTGGGTCTGTGACGCCTCAATTTGTAAGAACAATTTAAACGTGCCTATGATGCCTCAGCATGCATTTGAGGGCCCCAAAACAGACTAAATAGTGACTATGTGGCTTTAAATTGCAAGTCAAATTGCATGACTGAATAAATTAGGTCCAAGCATTCTTAATCATAAACAACAGCATAACTGGAGCAGTGGATTCATGTCATTACACAGCATCTCATATGTTGGTTTAGTTTTTCTGAGATGAATGAGGCAAAGTCATCAAATTGGTTGGGAATAATGACCTCCCCGAACGGTCTCACATTATTGCGTTCACGAACACCAGGCACCTGCCTCCAAACGCAAGATAACGATAACATTTGTTGCGTTCCATCAGTTATGATGTATTAAAAAAGAGTGGCTTCCCCAATTGCAGCAATCCCCATTTTTGAATTATTTTTTAACACATTTTAACATTCCAAATGCACTTATGTCACCTTAAAACTTCATTTGACTCAAACTGCATTTGAACACATTGGATTTGCATTGGAATGCAAAGCATGAGTCTGTGGCGCTCCAAAATGCGTTTGAACGCCCCAAAAGCTTAAAAGGTTCAGAGTGCACCATATTTTCCCATTGAGTTGGAACGCACCCGTGATGCTTCAAGATTTAATGTCAAATGCGCTCAACATGTCTATGAGCTTCAAAATGCATTTGAATGAATGCCCCAATTTCCCCAAAATCATCTATTATGGCTCAGTGTGTAGTTGAACATTCCCCAGCGCTATTCTTTAAAACCTTTTTAGAGGGGCAAATCAAGTTGTTCCCGAATATTCTAAAATAGTAAATCTGTTGTATCCATTTTTTTAGAGTTAATATTTTTATTTTAAAAATGAGCAGACTCCTTAAAATGTGTACAATTTAAAGATGCAAACGATGCCTTAACATGCATTTGAGGGCCCCAAAACATGCCTATAATGACAATAATTTGCCTATGTGGCTTTAAATGTTGCAAGTTAACCTGTGACAACTCAAACTGCATTTTGAATGCACCTGTAACACCTCAAAATGTGTCTGATTGAATAAAAGTGCCAATGATGCTTCAAAATGCATAATGATCCACATGCCTGTGATAGGCTATACTGTAAGGTGTTTGAGCACCCCAAATCACACAACAGCTAAAAATGTATTTTAACATTCCAAATGTGCTTATGTCGACAGTTCCAAGAGCACCTGAGACAACTCAAACTAACTTGGACTAACACACTAGTTGTGTTTCAATCCACCTACTCTTATGCGAATTTACTTATAGAGTAATTATTTGTGGGTGTTTTCAAACAGGTGGGTGTTTATAAATCATCGAATGAAAATGATACCCTTCCCCCGACCCCACCCCTAAACCCTAGCCTCAATGTGAAGTGGGCAAATCAGGTAACGCGGTCGAAAACACCCCTCCGTTTATGGCCACGCCCACTGATCTGGCCACTCCCATTACTGTCCTGAAGATAGATACCCAATAGCAGGCTTCTTGGAATTTTGGGATATCAGATTAAAAACAAATTCACATAAACTACGATTGAGACTCATTTACCAAATAAATCCCTCGTAACATGTGACTTTGAAAAATGTCGAGTTTTTGTTTTTTTTGTTAGTTATTTGACAGGGACAATGTAGCCTACATTAATTGACATTACTGTAAATGCACCAGAATTAGCCAAAAGGCTATTTTTCATCTGTTGTCCCTGGACAACTCTTAAAATTGTCTACCTAAAATGAACAACAATAAAAGATTACAATGAACAATACAAATAGTTTGAGAGTTTTGATTGAATATATGTCTGAAATTTCATTAAACAACACCATAACCGGGACTAACCAGTGGATTACTTTTAAATTGATTTATTATTTTTATTTCCATGGTTTTATTACAAATTGCAAAGTGAAAAGATGGCATATTTGTGGTTTTGCTACAAAATATAATGAACTTCGGTTATAGCCACTGTATCTTGCATCCAGATGTGTTAGGAGGCGTTCAAACAGGACGCGTTCTTGAGCCTGCTTTAAATTAGGGCGAGATTATCAAAGAAACTTTACAAACGCGTCCATTCAGTTGAAGAACGTTTTTCTGATTTGAACGCAAAAAAACGCGTCCTGTGTGAACTGCCGGGTACTTTGTCGCGGTGCAGATGTGATGATGCGGAAGTCACGTAGGCTACGATTAACGGTACACGGGTAAAATGACAGTATCAGCAGCAGCTCGGACATGTCCGTCTATTGTATAACATGACATATTTGATCGACTTATATAACAATGCGTGATTTAGACTTACCACTTGGTAGCGGCTCGCCGCCTGGTCCATTTTCATATACGACCAGCCCAGCCAGCGGCGAATAAAAACCGTAAAATCTTGATTAATTCAAATTAAAGGCAGCTCCCAATCTTACTTGAGATATGGAACGGATCAGTCATAGACGGAGACCTTATTTTTTTCTCCCCATTTACTCAATAGACACGATTTAACGCGAACGGTCATGAGATGCGGTCGAGTCCTACAGTGAAGAAACAAAGCGAGTGGGAGGAGGGAGGAGATGCCCATGACGCAACCGTGACGTCGCACTGGGGACGTCAAACTGTTTTTATTTATTGATATAGACCTACAGAGGTAAACACATATAATTATATTTACAAAATGTTTACTAGTGCTAGCCTATATATTCTCACCAGTTAATGAAGGGAGTTTAAGAAAAATAAACTTTAGAATTCTGTTGTAAGGTAGCCTATAGGATATGATTTTTATGTAATTTGAGCTCTGTGTGTTTTTGGAAAAACTGGCTGATGTTTACACCTTTTCCCCTTTAATATCTGTCCTTGTAATGTACATGGCCTTCAAGGTGACCTGCCTAGAAAAGTTATGTAAACATTGTCCTAAATTAATTTCATAATGTTGACGACACCGTTGCGTTGACTGATTTCTATCTCAGTATTTATTTCTTATCTGTGATAATTATATTTGAAAGGTCAAAGAGTGATCCTGTGGTGTCAACAACTATACCAGATTGCAGTTCTGAAATCAAGCATATCTCCATCTACTGGACAGATAATGCAAAGATTGTGGACTGTAAATTAAATATGAAAAAGTAAAACTAAAGACGGAGATACATCAGCTTTCATACAAGATGTTAGGGGTTTATTTGGGAAAAGCTGAACAAAAAAATAAAGACACAACAAACAAACAAAAATCTCTTAAAGTTCTTTCAATTGGTTTGAGTTTAAAGTGCGATTATTGACTTTGGTCGTAAATCCTCTGATATCTCAAATGTGTTTTAAATAAAAAGACAATGTCTAATCAACAATAAAACATAATAATATAGCCTAACACAATCACAATATTTCAAGAGACGTTGAATATATACCTACCATCATCTCATCATATCTAGAAACAATAAAATCAGACAATATCATGTAATATGACACAAGTAATTCAAAGATTGGATGTGTTCTAAAATGAAAAGTGACATCATATAGCAGATTTATAAGCAGCTTAGCTCATTCATTTAGCACACTGTTGATGTGATTGCTTTAACAGGCACTAGAGGGCCACCTTAGGCAGGGCAATAAACATGACTGTTTGTTGTCATGCAATGAAGTGAAAACTAACAATATCACTTTTGATTACTATTTCCACTAGTCTGTCTACAAAAAAAAAAAAAAAAAAAAAAAAACCTTATTTAATGGAAAAGCACTAAAGTCTCCACCTTCACCAAGCCTCCCCCTCTTGGATTTATAAACTTTATTAAGTTTTATGTTATCAATGTCATTTTAGGCCAACATGACATTGATTAGGCCGTGTGCAAAAAAAAAAAAAAAAAAAAAAAAAAAAAACATTATGTTCACATATGTGCCTGTGTGAAAGACGTTCCAGTCATTTGAAGGAACTGTCACTGTTTTTTATTTTATTTTATTTTTTTATTTTTATTTTTTGTAGGCTAGTAGTAGTAGTATGTTCCTGCACAACCGGAGGCTGAAGTTTTTATGTTTGTTTGTTTTTTGTTTGTTTTTATTGCAATATTAACAAACAAAACCAGTCATACAGTCGGCAACGCGTCATAGTTGGGGGGCGTGGTCGGCGTGGGGGAAAGCAGCGCGACCATCCTATGTATTTGAATGACAAAAATGTCATATTGCGAGTCATTTATGCCTGCCGACCGGCAACGGTACATTGCAAAATGAACTGTAATAGGTTATGATTGCCCTTATTTAATTAAAAACTGGGTCAATGACCCAACCAAATGGCCGGAGGTGTCGTTTCAGACATCTGGTTGAATCTTCAGGTAAGACATCGCGGAAGCTACACAAGCCTATTACTCAATCAACTTGCGTATAAGTTACTATAAGTCCATAAAACCATGTCCTAAAACGGTGATCAGTAGCTACTAGCTACGAAGTTGCAGAGGGACTTTGCTGACATCCGAATTCTCACAGACTGTCTGATTTCTTTGGCCAAGGCCCGCCCAGAGCCATGTATTCAGAGCCTACTTCAAGTTTATTTTTATTTTTTATTTAGTTAGTTATTTGACAGGGACAATGTACATTAATTGACATTACTGTAAATGCACCAGAATTAGCCAAAAGGCTATTTTTCATCTGTTGTCCCTGGTTACGCCCACTTCTTGTTACGCATTACGCAACCTCTCTTCAAGTCCGCAGACAGACCCATCTCACAGATCGTGTTTCCAGTACGGATCTTCTGATATGGGATCGAGTCGCGACAGGTAAGGTACTACGACATTTCAGACGAGGCAAAGCGCATTTCAAACAAGCCTAAAGTTTGATTGATTACATTAAGAATCGCGAGAACAGCTTTAGATCAGACATACTCCCCAAACTACTCTTTGCAGTGAAAATAGTTAGCTACCAAAAGTGAAAGTGAAAGTAATTTCCTACATTTTCAAGTTCAGCACGGAATTAATACAAAAGCTGTGAAAGAAACAAAACAACGGTATTTCTCTTTCTTTCTTTCTTTCTTTCTTTCTTTCTTTCTTTCTTTCTTTCTTTCTTTCTTTCTTTCTTTCTTTCTTTCTTTCTTTCTTTCTTTCTTTCTTTCTTTCTTTCTTTCTTTCTTTCTTTCTTTCTTTCTTTCTTTCTTTATAGAAAGGACGGTGCGTCAGCGCAATTGAGTTAGGCCCATGTGTCTGCAAGGCTAGTGGTGGATGGATAAGCTTGTAAAAGTAAAACATTTTGTCGATTATTAGCCTAACGTTATATATATATACAGTATATATATATATATATATATGTGTGTGTGTGTGTGTATATATATATATATATATATATATATATATATATATATATTGGTTTATTAGTTAGTTATTCTTGTTAGTTGCCTATCTGTTCTGTGCACAGTCTATAGTTGAGTCAGTAATCATATTGGGTCAGTAACATCCATTTCTTAGTGTTACAGATTACAATATATAAACTTTAGCCTGACTTCATACTCATATTCTATTCATACTTATTCGAACTTCCCGACCAAAAAATGTTGTGGGCGGAGTTCGGGCTGGCATCCAGGCTTACAAGGTTAGGTTTGGCGTAGTTATAATGGGGTAATAAAGAAGTTTTTATATATATATATATATATATATATATATATATATATATATATAGGGAGTTAAAAAGTTTGCCACAACAGAAGATAGGCTAGATAGGAGATAGGAGTGACTGATGTTGTGGTAATCCACATAGTTTTCAAACTACTGATGAATTGTTCTAATTCATAAAAAAAGCTCTTTTGTTTGTTTTGTCTCACATTTTCTAATATAAATTCTAATGTAAACCTTTTTATATGGCAAACATCAAAATAAGTATATATTAAAGGTTGTATCAGCAATTGTGAGTTCAACACCCGCCCCTGTCTGTATTGGTTAGAACACTGTTTATTTTGATTTTGAGTGGTGGTTGTACCAATTTGTTTTTGTGTACATATCTCAGAGCCTAGGATTTCTACATAGACGTGTTTTTTTTTTTTTTTTTTTTTTTTTTTTTTTGACACCCTGTTTATGGGGCGGGCAGCTAGCGGATCGTTAGGAAAGATTAGATCATTTTTGTTTGGGCCTGAAAAAAATCGCTGATACACCTTTAATGGATACTGTAACGGTTACCAGCTGGAGTGCCCTATTTATCCACCAGAGGGCACTCCAGATAAGACTAGGTTTCACACGAACTCCATTTCCCATAATGCCCCGTACCTAGGTCTAATCACCATCACAGGTGTTCCTCATTTACCCCTCCATATAAGCTGCTCTCTGACTCTCAATCAGGGCGAAGTCTTGTTTTGCCCCGGCGACATTTCTGAGCGGTTTCCCTGTGATTATCTGGATTCTCTGGTTATCGACCCTCGACTGTTCCTGGACTTTGATTCTCTGTTTGCTGCCTGCCCCGACCCTTGCCTGTTATCCCTGGATTCTGATTGTTGCCGCCTGTCCTGACCTCTGCCTGGTATTGTTTATGCTCTGGATTTCCTGCTCTATATTGTATGCCGATTGTTGACTTCTGCCTGTCTGACTATTCTTAATAAATATAACTGCACATGGATCTGCACGCTTCTGACTCTTCATGACAGAAGACTTCGCCAACACAAGATCCAGCAGCCATCATCGTCATGAATCCAGCAGTCAAGCTTATGCGTCTCCGTCAAGGAGATCATTCCATTGAGAATTATGTTGCTGACTTTTTAGAGCTGGCTCACCTGACCTGCCTAGATGAGGTATGCTTAATGATCTTTTTTCGTGGAGGACTATCTGAACCGCTCAGTTCGTTCATGCCCTTGCATGATCCTCACGGGACTTTAGAGCAATACATTGACCTGGCTCTTCTGTTGAGCGGATCATCTTTTACTGTGGGCTTTGAGGAGAAGGCCGAGGGGGCGTTCCCAGAGACCGTCCAGCCAGAGACCGTCCAGCCAGAGACCGTCCAGCCAGTGACCGTCCAGCCAGTGACCGTCCAGCCAGTGACCGTCCAGCCAGAGACCGTCCAGCCAGAGACCGTCCAGCCAGTGACCGTCCAGCCAGAGACCGTCCAGTCCGAGACCGTCAGCCCTGCCGAGCCTGCACTTCACTCAAGCCTCGCGAGTGATGAAGCTCCAGTTCAAGTGAGTCATCATGAGTCTTCAGTTCATGTGATTGAATCTTCAGTTCAAGTGAAACGCCGCCGCAGGAGGAGAAGGAGGGCTCGTTCAGTTCGCCAGGCTTCGGTGAGCTTAGCAGGACTCCTCGCCCTGCCGGCCCCGCCTCTGCGCCTCGCCCTGCCGGCCCCGCCTCTGCGCCTCGCCCTGCCGGCTCCGCCTCTGCGCCTCGCCCTGCCGGCCCCGCCTCTGCGCCTCGCCCTGCCGGCCCCGCCTCTGCGCCTCGCCCTGCCGGCCCCGCCTCTGCGCCTCGCCCTGCCGGCCCCGCCTCTGCGCCTCGCCCTACCAGCCCCGCCTCTGCGCCTCGCTCTGCCTGTGCCTTTCAAGCTCTGTTCAAGCTGTGCCCTTCAATTCCCTGTGGACTTTTCCAAGTATTTTTTGGGGGGGGGCAGTAGGTACCTTGTGAGGGCCATGGAGGCGATACAGACATGGCCTTCATTTCGTCCTGCTCCGCCGTGGCCGCCTGAGGGGTCTTCACCGCCGTGGCCGCCTGAGGGGTCTTCACCGCCGTGGCCGCCTGAGGGGTCTTCACCGCCGTGGCCGCCTGAGGGGTCTTCACCGCCGTGGCCGCCTGAGGGAGCTTCACCGCCGTGGCCGCCTGAGGGGTCTTCACCGCCGTGGCCGCCTGAGTGGTCTTCACCGCCGTGGCCGCCTGAGGGGTCTTCACCGCCGTGGCCGCCTGAGGGAGCTTCACCGCCGTGGACGCCCGAGGGTCCCACAACTCCGCCCTGGTCACGTCCACAGCCTGCTCTGCCCTGGCCATGCCCACATTTTGCTTCGCCTTGGAAGCCCGAGGGTCCGACAGCGCCGCTCTGGTCTTCGACTGCTCCGACCTGGTCGCCTCCACAGCCAGCTCCGCCACAGTCTCCAGGTCCTCTTCCGCTCCACGGGCCTGGTCCTCCACATTTCTCCTGGACATTGTAAGGAGCGTCTGGAATCCGCTCCTTAAAGGGGGGGCTATGTAACGGTTACCAGCTGGAGTGCCCTATTTATCCACCAGAGGGCACTCCAGATAAGACTAGGTTTCACACGAACTCCATTTCCCATAATGCCCCGTACCTAGGTCTAATCACCATCACAGGTGTTCCTCATTTACCCCTCCATATAAGCTGCTCTCTGACTCTCAATCAGGGCGAAGTCTTGTTTTGCCCCGGCGACATTTCTGAGCGGTTTCCCTGTGATTATCTGGATTCTCTGGTTATCGACCCTCGACTGTTCCTGGACTTTGATTCTCTGTTTGCTGCCTGCCCCGACCCTTGCCTGTTATCCCTGGATTCTGATTGTTGCCGCCTGTCCTGACCTCTGCCTGGTATTGTTTATGCTCTGGATTTCCTGCTCTATATTGTATGCCGATTGTTGACTTCTGCCTGTCTGACTATTCTTAATAAATATAACTGCACATGGATCTGCACGCTTCTGACTCTTCATGACAGATACATTCATATTGTCCATTTATTTTCTAGGCTTACAGTGGATTTTTCATCTCAAATAAATATATAAAATGGCTGAAACTACCAAAATGTCAGAAACTTCGCAAGGCAAGTAAAAAAAAAATACTGTTTTAACTGTCACATGCATTGTACTTTAAACACTATAGCAAAAAAAATGACATATGAATAATGTTTAATTTGTTTCTTTCTCTTCTTCAGATTTGACTCTTGTTTGTCCATCTGACTTTGTAGTTTGTGATTTTGGAGATGATGTTGTTCTGTCATGTCATCTTCAGCCAGCCATCAGCGCTGCTTCAATGGAAATTAAGTGGCAGTATAGGGCTGATCTGGTCTGCCATTATAAGGACGGGCAGATGACAGTGAGCGAAGACTATGAGGGTCGAGTGAGTCTCTCATTGCAGGATCTACACAATGGAAATGTGTCTTTAATTCTCAGAGATGTCAGGAGATCACAGATGGGCCTCTATATTTGTGAAGTCATCCATGAATGGCAAACAATGAAAGAATATATTTTTCTCTACCTTCTTTACCGTAAGTATTATGCAGATTTTACAGGTTAAGATATTGCATTCCTGCACTGTAAGTTGCTTTGGAAAATGTGTAAATATAAAATTAAAAAAAATTGTGTCATACTTGATTGATTTGTTTTCTTTTGACACCAAGTTTCAATCTAAAGTAGTTCAACGTTTAATTAAAAATTAAATAAAATTGGGTAACACTTTCTTTTAATGTCCTTGTTACATGTTATAAAATAAACGTATAACTATATGGCACAACTTACAAGTACATGCAACTAACCCTAAATCAAACTCTATTCCTACCCTAACACTTTAGTACGCACATGTAGTTAATTAATATTATTCAGTACTAAAATGTATAATTACATTGTAACAGGGACACATTAAATGGTAGTGACTTCATGTCATTGACAATAAATTGTTCTCTCTGTCCAGCTGAAGACTTTAGTCTTGTGATTCCTAATGGCACTGTGTCTGCTGACCCTGGAGAAGACGTCATCTTACCTGTTCATCTCTCACCTGAAACCAGTGCTGTGTCCATGCACATCAGCTGGAGGAGAGGGACAGATCGCATTTATTGGTATAGAAATGGATGTGAGACAATAGACAGTGACTATGTGAACAGAGTGAGTATGTTCACCCAGAATCTGGAGAGAGGAAATCTTTCTCTGACTTTGAGGAATGTTCAACCTTCAGATTCAGGGGACTACAGATGCACAGTCCATCACAATGGATGTCTGCAGACTGGAACAGTTCACCTACAAGTGAGAGGTAAGGTATTATTAAAACTGCAGCTCCTACATTTCTATATTCATTTTATCACTACATACAGTTCATGTCTTTGTTCATTCAAAGAAAAAAAAACGTTTCAGGCAGCAATTCTATATATTTGAGCATATATTAACAAATCTTTATTCACCCATCTTTCCATGAGCAAATGATAGCTAGGCTAAGCAAGGTGACACATATGCAGCAAATGCCCTTTAAAACATTTTAACATGCTCATAACTCAATAATTAACTATACTGTACTTGGTGTAAGTTTTACATGAGTACAGTCTTTTTGTACCTGTGATGGTGCACTTGATGAATTAATTACAAAAAAGTTATTTGTGCCTCGTGAAGATAAACACATAGACTGCAAATAGGCTACATTACCAACCAAACAAATATATATTCTTTCCATAAGTGTTGTCATGAGCTGCTCTCTTGCTAGTTGATTATTAAAAAAAAATTAAAATGCTATTTATCATCATGCAAAAAACAGAAAGCACAAGTTTTTTGTGTGTGGTTGTTATGTTGTAATGTTAATGTAGAATTGTGTGTATTACCACCTGCTGGGACCCTATGTGAGATCCACCAATCAGGGAGGTTCCAGAAACACAGTTTATTTTTGATTGGTTAAAATGAATGAAGGAGAATATTTTTTGTTTCTGTATTTGAGTGCTGCCCATGGCAAATGTATAGCACCATCATCTGTGCTACTTTCATGTCTCTCATATGTCATACCAAGTTTTCACATTGTTAATGTTACACACCTAAAAGATCAAGTGCATTGGGTGAATGTTACATAATATTCCTTCAATTTTGCTAGCAATGAAGTGATAATGAGCTTGACATTGACATTTTAGAACTCCAGAAGAGTGATGTTACCTTAGAGGCTCTTCAGGACATTTTAAGAAGATTACAAGATGATATTCTGCAACTAAAAACAGACCTTCCAGAGAAAACTCTAAAACTGCTCCAAGAAGCACTAAAACATGATGACAAGGATAAAAAGAGAAAGAAAAGGTCATCTGTTGGTAAGTATAAGAGACAACAAAAAAAAAATTAATGTGCATTGTTTGTGAGTTCTTAATTTGTAACTCAAATTAAGATATTTTTGATTAAATCTGAGAGCTAGATAACTCCTCCATAGGCTTCTAAGGGATTGACACTTGCCGGGCCAGAAAAGTTATTAAAGACATCGTAAAAATAGTCAAAAATAGCTCAATCTTAAGTTTATCAAGTGACGAGAATACTTTTTGTGCGCAAACCCCCCCAAAAAACAAAAACAACTTTATTCATTTATTTCTCTGTGGGCCTTGAGTGAGTTACTATCTGACTGTTGAAAGCTTCCTCCAGATTATATGAAACTGCTATGAATATAGTAAATAGGGAAGTTCTAAAACTTAACTAAATTTTTATAAATTTACTTTGTTTACATAATTTAAATTGTAGATGTACAAAAATGTTTACTTTAGTGCATACTGATACTGCAATTAACAGATACTGATGATTAATATGTGTTGTATCATTTTAAAAGGGATTTACATGCTATATAACATATTCTCTATCTTGCAATTGTCTTCAGTGGGGGAAGAAGAGTTACTGGAATGTTTTTAAGACATTTCTTACACACTTCTGGTGCATCATATAGTGCATCATTTGTTAGGTCACTTTGGATAAGGCGTCTGCTAAATGACCAAATGTAAATGGAATATAGAGGAAAAACTTTATATCACAGTGTATTAAACCCAGTGAGTAGATATTATTTAAATGATAATTTTCTTGCATCCTCTATATTATTCCTCTATATTATTATTACTGAGATAGTCTTAAGTAAAATAAAATGTCTAAAACTAATTAACAAATTTAGAGTCTTCCTCTAATTAACTCAGTTTACCCGTTTTCAATTTTAGGTCATACATTAAGGAGTGTGTGTGTGTGTGTGTGTGTGTGTGTGTGTGTGTGTGTGTGTGTGTGTGTGTGTGTGTGTGTGTGTCTGTGTGTGTGTTTGTGTTTGTGCATGCACGTTCAGGTTTTACAAGCTAAATTACATATTTTTTCTCTTTAGTGGGAGAAGATAGCACAACAGAGACAGAGTTAATGGAAGGTGAGAGGTCTTACATTGCATAGTGGAACAAAGGTATAACATAAATTGTATTAAAGGGATAGTTCACTTTGAAATTAATTTTTGGTATGTTTTAGCTTGCCTCAAGGACATCCAAGATGTTGGTGTCTTTGTTTCCGCAGTATTTTCAATTTTTTATATTTTTTGGTCAAACCGTTTGTGTCTGTCAGTCATATAATGCAGGTTTAGGGGGTCCACGTCAAAGAGCATGCACAGAGAAGTCCAAATTAAACATGATTTAATGACTCGTAAATGTAAGTACACATTGATGGCCTAAGACACGAAACGAGCGGTTTGTGTGAGAAAACTAACAGTATTTATACCCTTTTTACCTCTTGTAACCACAGCCATGTCCTTGATCTGAAGGCACGGGCGCTTCAGTCTGCGCAAGCGGCGGAAGTGATCTCTCGCGCGTGTACGTCACTCATTGTTTACACAGAGATTTCAGAAGTGTTACCCTTTCACTGTGAAGATCTAAACATATTTAGATATACAGGAAATCGCAATAGAATACGATTTCGATATATCGTATAAGTACGTTTAGTGAAAGGTAAAACGCTTGCGCAGACTGAAGCACCCATGCCTTGAGATCAGTTGGACATGGCTGTTGTTACATGAGGTAAAAACGATTTTTTTCTCACACAAACCGCTCGTTTCGTGTCTTAGGCCATCAATGTGTCCTTACATTTACGAGTCATTAAATCATGTTTAATTTGGTCTTCTCTGTGCATGCTCTTTGAGGTGGTGACCATAGACCTCCATTATATGACTGACAGACAAGAACTGTTTGACCTAAAAATATCAAATTTGAAACTACTGCGGAAACAAAGACACCTACATCTTGGATGCCCTTGAGGTAAGTTAAAACATACCAAAAATTAATTTCAAAGTCAACTATCCGTTTAAATGCCAATAGTTGTAAGATATTATTTCAAATTTAGAGATTTCCTCCTCTGATTATTTTACCTGTTTTCAATTTTAGGTCATATAGTAAGAGGTAGATGGAGCTTGGATGGACTTCCTCCACTCAGTAAGATATCACATTAAATGCTATGTGTGTGTTTGTGTGTGTCTGTGTGTGTGTGTGTGTGTGTGTGTGTGTGTTCAGGTTTTACATAATTGTGGGGAGAGGCTGTCTGGTTTTCACAGTCCCACAAGTTAATGTAAATTCTTCATCATGATTTAAAAATAAAAATGTGCATGTCTTTGCTTCATTACCATCTGATTTTTTTAGGTTAAATATTTGATAATCCTATAATATTACTGTAACTGTCATTAACTGTCAATTAATCATTAAAGGGTTAGTTCATCCAAAAATGTAAATTCGGTCAGTATTTACTCACCCTCATGTTGCTCCAACCCCGTAAGACCTTCGTTCATCTTCGGAACACAAATTACGATATTTTTGATGAAATCTGAGAGCTGGATCACTCCTCCATACTAGTCCATAGGATTCTTGAGGGAATGAAACATGTCGGCCTCGAAAAGTTATTAAAGACATTGTTAAAATAGTCCAAGTGACTTCAGTGGCTCAATCTTATCTTTAAGTGACGAGAATACTTTTTGTGCGCAAAAACAAACAAAAATAACGACTTTATTTCAACTATTCACTTCCTTTTCTATGAGCCTCTAGTCCGTTAACGTAGTGTGATTGCGTAGAGCTACGTCACATGTAGATCACTATTGGCCGATGCTGGTCATGTGTGTGATGCATGTGACAAACAAGAACTTATGTTATTTATAATAGTAACCTGACTCGATGCAGAGAGAGAAGTAAATGAATAGTTGAAATAAAGTCGTTATTTTGTTGTTTTTTTGCGCACAAATTTTGTTGAGATTTTGTTGTTTTTTTTGCGCTGTTTTTTTCTCGTTGTTTGATAAAGTTAAGATTGAGCCACTGTCGTCACTTGGACTATTTTAACGATGTCTTTAATGACTTTTCGAGGCCAGCAAGTTTCATTCTCTCAAGAAGCCTATAAACTGGTCTGCAGGAGTGATCCAGATCTCAGATTTCATCAAAAATATCTTAATTCGTGTTCCGAAGATGAACGAAGGTCTTACGGGGTTGGAGCAACATGAGGGTGAGCAAATACTGACAGAATTTTCATTTTTGGGTGAACTATCCCTTTAACTACATTTGGATTGTGATTTTGCAAGGCATTTACATCCTAAATTACATATTTTTCTCTTTAGTGGGAGAAGATAGCACAACAGAGACAGAGTTAACGGAAGGTGAGGGATGTGAAGCCATTTTCTTCCATTGCATAGTGGAACAAATTTATAACATACATTGTATTAAAGGTGCTCTAAGCGATGTTGGGTGATGTGACTTCTTGTTGACGTTTAAAGTATTTTTAAACAAAACGGATTCTAGATAGACTCTCCCTCCTCCTCATCTGCACTGACCCCACCCCCAGGGCCTTCTTGTCAGTTATTGGCTGGAACAGTTTGTTATGTTTCGTGGAGCGGGTTGCCGCTGTTTGTTTTTGTTGCCATTTCTGGAGCCTGGGTTGTCTGCATAGACCGTGTTTTTTACAATGTGTTTAGGGGACAGGCAGCTAGTGGATAGTGAGGAGATGTTTGGTGTATGTGACAAAAAATATTTGGGCCTAAAAAACATGCGACATTGCTTAGAGCACCTTTAAATGCCAGTAGTTGTAAGATATCATTTCAAATTTAGAGATTTCCTCCTCTGATTATTTTACCTGTTTTCAATTTTAGGTCATATAGTAAGAGGTAGATGGAGCTTGGATGGACTTCCTCCACTCAGTAAGATATCACATTAAATGCTATGTGTGTGTTTGTGTGTGTGTGTGTGTGTGTGTGTTCAGGTTTTACATAATTGTGGGGAGAGGCTGTCTGGTTTTCACAGTCCCACAAGTTAATGTAAATTCTTCATCATGATTTAAAAATAAAAATGTGCATGTCTTTGCTTCATTACCATCTGATTTTTTTAGGTTAAATAATTGATAATCCTATAATATTACTGTAACTGTCATTAACTGTCAATTAATCATTAAAGGGTTAGTTCATCCAAAAATGTAAATTCGGTCAGTATTTACTCACCCTCATGTTGCTCCAACCCCGTAAGACCTTCGTTCATCTTCGGAACACAAATTACGATATTTTTGATGAAATCTGAGAGCTGGATCACTCCTCCATACTAGTCCATAGGATTCTTGAGGGAATGAAACATGTCGGCCTCGAAAAGTTATTAAAGACATTGTTAAAATAGTCCAAGTGACTTCAGTGGCTCAATCTTATCTTTAAGTGACGAGAATACTTTTTGTGCGCAAAAACAAACAAAAATAACGACTTTATTTCAACTATTCACTTCCTTTTCTATGAGCCTCTAGTCCGTTAACGTAGTGTGATTGCGTAGAGCTACGTCACATGTAGATCACTATTGGCCGATGCTGGTCATGTGTGTGATGCATGTGACAAACAAGAACTTATGTTATTTATAATAGTAACCTGACTCGATGCAGAGAGAGAAGTAAATGAATAGTTGAAATAAAGTCGTTATTTTTGTTGTTTTTTTGCGCACAAATTTTGTTGAGATTTTGTTGTTTTTTTTGCGCTGTTTTTTTCTCGTTGTTTGATAAAGTTAAGATTGAGCCACTGTCGTCACTTGGACTATTTTAACGATGTCTTTAATGACTTTTCGAGGCCAGCAAGTTTCATTCTCTCAAGAAGCCTATAAACTGGTCTGCAGGAGTGATCCAGATCTCAGATTTCATCAAAAATATCTTAATTCGTGTTCCGAAGATGAACGAAGGTCTTACGGGGTTGGAGCAACATGAGGGTGAGCAAATACTGACAGAATTTTCATTTTTGGGTGAACTATCCCTTTAACTACATTTGGATTGTGATTTTGCAAGGCATTTACATCCTAAATTACATATTTTTCTCTTTAGTGGGAGAAGATAGCACAACAGAGACAGAGTTAACGGAAGGTGAGGGATGTGAAGCCATTTTCTTCCATTGCATAGTGGAACAAATTTATAACATACATTGTATTAAAGGTGCTCTAAGCGATGTTGGGTGATGTGACTTCTTGTTGACGTTTAAAGTATTTTTAAACAAAACGGATTCTAGATAGACTCTCCCTCCTCCTCATCTGCACTGACCCCACCCCCAGGGCCTTCTTGTCAGTTATTGGCTGGAACAGTTTGTTATGTTTCGTGGAGCGGGTTGCCGCTGTTTGTTTTTGTTGCCATTTCTGGAGCCTGGGTTGTCTGCATAGACCGTGTTTTTTACAATGTGTTTAGGGGACAGGCAGCTAGTGGATAGTGAGGAGATGTTTGCTGTATGTGACAAAAAATATTTGGGCCTAAAAAACATGCGACATTGCTTAGAGCACCTTTAAATGCCAGTAGTTGTAAGATATCATTTCAAATTTAGAGATTTCCTCCTCTGATTATTTTACCTGTTTTCAATTTTAGGTCATATAGTAAGAGGTAGATGGAGCTTGGATGGACTTCCTCCACTCAGTAAGATATCACATTAAATGCTATGTGTGTGTTTGTGTGTGTGTGTGTGTGTGTGTGTGTGTGTGTGTGTGTGTGTGTGTGTGTGTGTGTGTGTTCAGGTTTTACATAATTGTGGGGAGAGGCTGTCTGGTTTTCACAGTCCCACAAGTTAATGTAAATTCTTCATCATGATTTAAAAATAAAAATGTGCATGTTTGTGCTTCATTACCATCTGATTTTTTTAGGTTGAATATTAGATAATCCTATAATATTACTGTAACTGTCAATTAATCATTAATTACATTTGGGTTGTGAGTTTGCAGGGCATTTACATCTTAAATTACATATTTTTCTCTTTAGTGAGAGAAGATAGCACAACAGAGACAGAGTTAACGGAAGGTGAGAGATGTGAAGACATTTTCTTACATTGCATAGTGGAACAAATGTATAACATACATTGTATTAAATGCCAGTAGTAGTAAGATATGATTTCAAATTTAGAGATTTCCTCCTCTGATTATTTCACCTGTTTTCAATTTTAGGTCATACATTAAGAAGTAGAGGTAGCTTGGATGGACTTCCTCCACTCAGTAAGATATCACTTTAAATGTTGTTTGTGTGTGTGTGTGTGTGTGTGTGTGTGTGTGTGTGTGTGTGTGTGTGTGTGTGTGTGTGTGTGTGAAAAATGTTTTAACAATGTAGTCAATATTATGATTGTTTTCAAGGTATAATGATGCTGGGACACAAAATGGAAGATGGGAGAGATCCCAGAGAACAGCTCATGAAATAATTCACATTCATGAAATTAATTCTAGAATATTCATTGACTTTAAGATCATGGCCCTATTTTAACAATCTAACGCAAAACGCAAGTAGCTTTGTGGGCAGATCTCGGGCACTGATGCTATTATTCCGGCGGGATAAATGACTCTTGCACTCAACGCAAAATCTAAAATGGGTTGGTCTGAAGTCGCTACATTACTCATAGGTGTGGTTTGGGCATAACGTGCAATAATCCTATCAGAGCGTAATCTCACATTCCCTTTAAAAGCAGCCACGCTTGTTCCATGGCGAATTGCTATTATAATGACAGATTTGCCAGGTGCGATTCACAGACGAGGAGACCGATGTTCTCACCAGACCCGTAAAAGATGGAGAAGTGACATTGTATGGGGGATGGGAGGATCCTACCCTAGTTAGCTTTAAACAGTCATATAAAAATGTAGGTAAATGTGTAAGCTAGATGTATGCCTATTTTTCAACACATCTTCAAGGACACCACAATGATTTCACTCTTGTGTTAATATTATTCCTTGTAATTGTGTATGGTTTGCAATAATGGGAACTGCTGTGTCTGGTTAAATGAGAGAAGCAAAGTTTACGTGCATTGTACACATGCTACATTATGGCCAAGCATGCGCCCTTAAAATATCTGAATGACGCCCCACTGACTTTAAGACTAGGTTTTCTTGCTCAGTGGCGGAATTGTTTTCTAAAACTGCAAAATAGCACCAGGGAACGTTTGTGCTCTTATATCTTTGTGCTCTTGGAGGGAAAAGTCTGCTGTGTGTCGGGTGAAAAATAGGGATGAAACATGCGTCGATGAAAAAAAGTAAATTATACTGGGTGCAAGATAGGGCCCTAAGTGTCATGAGTGGATACGCAATTTTTTTTTTTTTTTTTTTTTTTTTTTGTCTTTTATTACACTTTAGCTGGATTAGAAAGGAGTTTTAGTTCATTAACTCAATTGCTACAATTGCGTTTTCTTTAAAACAAAGTAAATAATTGTGTTTGTTTCTTTTTTATGGAAAGTAATGTGTTATGTTGCCTTTGTGTTACCTGTCCTCACCTATCAAATGTTTCCGTAATATTCTGAGTTTGCTTATATAATTTTTTATTCAATTTGAGGTCTGTTTTTGAATCTGAACTGAATCTGTTTTTTGCAAGTGAGATGAGGAAATATCTGCTCAATGCTTGTTTTAATATTGCAGTGGCCAGAGAGAGCAGCGATCAAAACACAAGTCCAACAAGAGAAGAGAATACTGCCACTGAGCAAGAGTTTTTGGCCCCAGCTGTGTCATCACTGGTTTTGCAAAGAGAACACGCATCAGTAAATGCAATATTGCAAGAAAGGAGACAAGAGAGTGTTGCCACAGAGCAAGTGGGATCCTCCTCCACTATGCAATCACAGGAACAAGAAAGTGAAAGAACATCACAAACACCAGAGAGTCCTAGAAACAGAACGCGGATGAGTCAAAGGAGACAAGAGAAAATGTGCTCAGTTTCTTAGTGGTTCACCTACCATGTTTTCAGTTATTCTAAATTTTTGTAAAATCCTAAATGGAACCTTTTCGCAGGCTGTGATGAATTGCTGATGAAAAACGTGTGACACGTTTTAAATGTCATCTGCATTGTAAATCCTGATAAGATTTTCATATTAGATTTTTCACATTAGTTATATTAAAAACGTGCATCTTTTATTTATTTACAGCCTGAGCACTGTGCTGAACATTTTCCATTGTTATTCTTGCATGTATACTGAACACTGATATGGAAAAACAATGAATATAATAATAAAATATAATATCCAAAATATTATATAATATCTGGATAAAAAAATTATCCAAAGAAATTGAATTGAAATTTTGCTTTCTTTCCAAACTTCTGTCTCTCCAAACTAGGAATGTTCGTTTTATCTGTGGAAAAGCACTATATGTAATGGCACTAAAGTCTTTTTTTAGACACCTTAACCCTAGTTTCTTTGTTTGTTCACAAATCTTTTTCGTGTCATTTGGTTCATTCAACAAACGAAATGAACGAATTGACTCGGGAAATTTTGATGAACGAGTTCGGACAGAGTCACGAACGTGCATCACAGAACAGAGCAAGGCGAGCATTTGAGCTTATTTTTTGAATGAGTGATTGTTTCGCTTGATAAGACCCTTACAGTTTGTAGTTTGCACTGAAATTGTCTTTTGGACCTTGAACCAGTTGGTTACCACTGAAGTCCATTATATGGAGAAAATCCTGGAATGTTTTCATCAAAAACCTTAATTTCTTTTCGACTGAAGAAAGAATGACATGGACATCTTGGATGACATGGGGGTGAGTAAATTATCAGCAAAAGTTTTTTTTTTTTTTAAGTGAACTACTCCTTTAAAAAAGGGAAGTATGCTATTTCGGATGCAGCCAGTCAGAAAAGTGAAGCAGAAAGGGAAAACAGTATTGCGCGCTCACTTGACTGAAACGCAAAATAAAAGGAGCGCTGCAAATGAATGAGTATGGCCATGGAAAGTGTTGCAAAATTAATTTCAATACATTTAAAGTAGGCTATGCCTCCTCTGTATGGATAGAAAATTGTTATATTACAAGACAAAAATTCAGATAGGCTTCTCAGAGGTTACTCAACATGTTTTATTATGACAGGTTTCAAAAATAATGAAACTAGAAATAATGTCTCTTCTGTATTAGAAAAATAAATAATAAATAACTAAAAAAAAAATACCTCCAAATTGAACAAAAATAGCTCTCACAAACTTACAAAGCGTACTAACAAAATATATTTATATCTTTAGTTTTCTTCCTCTTCCTGCATGGAAAACACGACTGTTGGTCAACCATATGCTAAAAGTCTATTGCAGAGACACGATCGATGTTCTTAAGCTTCTTTTCCAGCTGCCAATGATTTTTGCAATTACTCATATATTTATTTTTCCTCTATTTTGTTTGTAGGCTATTTTTGTTTTGTTTTGTTTGCAAAAATATAAAAAAAAAACTTTTAGCCCCGCCCCTTTTCAGCTCGTTGTCTTCTGTCTTCCGGTCTGAATTTTCACAGTGATCTTGAATCAACGGCTCGTTTTAAAATTTTCCCGGTCTACAGACATTTGTTAAAACATCTGCTTTAAACATTACAATGCTCATGATAACTTTCGTTAACTTTACATTAAGTAAATCCGGACAGAGCGACCGCGAAACCGGAAGTTCAAAAACAATATTCTAAAGATCGCGGCGACCTCGTTTCTCTGGTGCATACATAGGGGTGCATAAGGTCTATACTTATTCTCTTTTGCAGTTATTTATTTTATCCTTTGCTAAACTCATTTTCTCTACATCTATCCTTTATTTTTCTTTTGCAATTAATTATTATTTATGTATTTATTTTTGCTCAATACCTTATTTTTCTTTTGCAATACTTTTATTGTGTGGCAAGAATGTGACTTCTTTTTTTACAGTCTGGACTCCACATTGCACCAGCAGTGACGGGGTTAATACCATAGATATCTATATAAAGGCTAGATGTCAGCACGAACACAAATACTCTTATATCTCGTTGAAATCTTAACGGATTTACAAACGGTTTGTTTTCTCACAAACGTTATTAACGTGGCTATAATTATCTGGATGATTATTTATTTATACACTTATTATTCATAAGTATGCTGTGTCATAACTACATCTCTGACGTTTATAACAAATCAAACCGTTTGAAAATCGGTAGAAAATTGAGCAAGTTATGGTTATTTAAAAAGTACATGTACCATTAACACAATGTTACGAGTGAGCGAGCTGCCTGTGACAAGATGGCCGCCAGGTGCAGACGTCGACCTCCATTGGCCAGCAGCGTGGACGAGATATCCTTTTTGTAGATATCTATGGTTAACACGAGAGAACCGGAAGTGTCGTATTAGAAAATATACATGCTGCGTAGGCTATCGTGCCAGTTGATATTGCTCTGCGTTCGGCATTAAAGCTTCAACAAAGAGCTCATTTGTTTGTCTATCTTAAGACACTACAGTGTATATACTTTTGTGTCGTTAGATTTATTCATTACGTTTAAAAAAAATAATAATAACTAGCTTTAGACTTAATACCACATTGACCTGACTTATTGTCCTTTTTTTTTTTGTTATTTTTTGAAATTGTGTCCGTTGGTTTGCATGTTTTTTACTGTGTTGGTTTAAATATACTGCATCACAGGCGCCGCTTCACATGAGTGTCAGGTTGCCCCTCCTCTGAGTTGCTGTAGTATAAAATCAAACTGCTGTCAGTGCGCCACTGAGACTGACTCACTCATACCACATTGCAGGTACGCAGTGAGAGGACAAGTGTTCATCAAACTATTTTCCCGGCGAAAAACCCCCCAAATCTAAAGCAAAATGGTGAGTAGAATATTCTTTTTTATTGTTAGATCTAAATCTTTTTGCCTGTAAGTACATGTTTGAACACGGATGCATTTAACTTATCTTTCATGTGCTCAAAATTGGAATATCGCTTTTAACACGTGCGAATAAAGCACTGTTTCCATCCAGCGAGTCGACGATAATTAAATCATCACTTCACGATAA